GGAGAAAGAAAAGTCTTAGGTCCAGAATTGGTTCAGAAAACAGTTGATGCTATTGACAAGATTCAAAAAATGATGAAAGCAGCTCAAAGTCAACAAAAGAGTTGTGCCGATAAGCATAGAAAAGATCTTGAATTTGAAGTTGGTGACAAGGTCTTTCTTAAAGTTGCTCCAATGAAGGGAGTTATGAGATTTGGACAGAAAGGAAAGCTCAGTCCTAGATATATAAGGCCTTTTGAGATTTTGAAAAGAGTAGGAAAACTTGCTTATGAGTTAGCTCTTCCACCACCATTGTTTGGTATTCATGATACATTTCATGTTTCTATGCTCCGTAAGTATATAGTTGATCCATCTCATGTTTTGAAGTATGAAGCTTTGGAGCTGAAACCAAATTTGTCATACGAAGAAAAACCAGTTCAGATTCTTGATAGAAGACATAAGGAATTAAGAAACAAAAGCATTCATTTGGTCAAAGTTCTTTGGAGAAATCAATTAGTCAAGGAAGCTACTTGGGAAAAAGAGGATGAGATGAAGATTAAGTATCCAGAACATTTTGGTAAGCTAAATTTTGAGGACGAAATTTGTTAAGGATGAGAGAAATGTAATACCCGAGATTTAATTAATCCTTAAGCCAATAATAAATAAATTTAGTAAATTAAAATAATGCACCACATTTACCATTTATCTCAAAGTTATTTGTTGGTACTATATTTTATTATTACAACTATCATATGATTTTATTAATCTTATAGCTTTCCTAATCAAGTTTTTAGTTTTAATGTGCAGTGCAACTAACTAGATGTGGGAACTCAATGTGCTAAACTTATGAACAAAAAATGATATTTATTATGATTATTTGATATGATATTTTACCTCTATTATGATTGATTTAATAATGAATTATTATTTTATATTTTTATTATATGGTTTTATATAAATGTGTTGAGGACTGAGTTTCTACTTTGAGTTTTTGTGAGAGAATGCTATGTTAGCAAATTGAGTGAACTTTAGGCATCTAATTGAAGAAGAAAAATAAAGACTTTAGAGCTGATTTTATGAGGTTAGAACAGCTGTTAGAGACTTAGAAAAATCTAGACACTTGTCCTACTATAAGGCCATTTTACTTTTGCTTGGTTTCTATCATGTTTGGACTTCATTTTTCGGTCTATTTTAGCAAAAAAAAAAGCCTAGAACTCCAACCATAACATTTTCTTCTCTCTTCTCACTCCTTTTCTCATCCAAAACTCAGAATCAAATCTAGGTTTTCAAGAGGGAATGAGCTAAAAACTCAACCAACCCATTTCAACTCGTTTTTCAACCTAGAACCAAAAATAACCATCAAGATTTTGAGCTTCTATTCAGTTGGGAACACGTTTTTCTTTGAGGTAACTTCTTTCTTATGTTAGAAACTAAGATTTCAGAGATTATGATGTTGAAACCCTACTTGAGATTCAGATTTTTGATGTTGCTTATCATGCATGTTGGTGTAGACCCTTAAAAATGAGTTTCTTGAGATTTTGGTTCAAATATTGGTTTCTGGGTGAAATTAATTATTTTAGCTTGATATTATTGATGATTATTTGAAGATAAACTCTTATTAGGATGATGATTCATGTATTTAAGAGTGGCCTTTGAAGATTAAGATCTGCATGCTTGCATGCTAGGTATTTGATGAAATGTTCAAATATAAGTCCTCTGTACAGTCTATGTAGATTCTGTTTTTGTGCTATATATACTTATGATTTTGAATGATCTTATATTTTATTTTATTAAATTATACATCCTAAGCTTTACGTGAGTGTTTTGAATCACTCTCAACGGATTTTTCTACATTTAGTTATGAATTTTATAAGTTCAGCTAAAAAGTTGTCATTTTCCTGACGAGATGATACTTCAATCCAGATTTAGGCTGTTTTTGGTTAGTTTGAAAAATCTGAAACCTATCATGTAGTAGCTCTAAAAATTGGGTTTTGAGTCTACTTTTATTTGCCATAGGTGCATAATATTGAGTTTTGATGAATTTGTTATGAATATTTTCATAACAATGCACAATTATATGTTTTGTTAAATGATTATATGAATGTGATTTTTGAAAGCTATGGTTTTTAAATGTTAATTACCACATTGACGGCTCCCCACAACCAGCTAGTTTGTGTTTGCATAGTGGTGATCGAAATTCAAGAAAGTATAGTTAAAGCATTTTTAAAACTGCATCACAAGACCTATTTGACGAAATAACTTGTTCAGAATTGTGATTATGCAAGTTTATTCTCTTATTAAATTCTTACATGATTATGTTCAAAGAGTATTCATGATTAATTATTTTGAAAGGGATTATTATATTTACTTATTATGTTTTTTTTTGTTTTAAGTGATTTTATGGCATGGTATATGGATGAGAGGCTGGGTAAGCAGGGGTGCGAAGGACCGGTGCCCCAAATTAGAGTAACTGCCTCTTTGAGACAACTAGAGAAAAATTCTAGTGGGAAGTCTCTTGTTTATCACAAGAGAAAGAGATTGCTTAGTGTTTAAGAGAAGAGAATTGGTCAAAATTAGAAAAGGTCCTGTATAGAGAGGCTTACCTAGAATCGAAGTTCTGTATCATACATAAACTAAGAATAAGTATGAAATTTTATGAACAATGTTTAACAAAGAGATTTCAGCCATGGAGATTTTAGACACTTTATTTGAAATCTACTTACTGAGTTTTTGTTTATTAGTTTTACCTTGTGATGCAGATGATGCTTGATCGCTGCGAAAATAACACCTATTTTCTACTCGCAAGTGCACGAGGTCGACAAGTAATAAAGTAGTAAGTGAGTGTCGTGTCCCACGAGGATTGTGTTCCTAAAATCTAGCTAAGTACTGCAACTAGAATAACCTAGTTTTATCCAGACAAGTCCAACATAAGAATGAGAACAATCAAAATAAGAATAAAATGCTAAACTAATTAAATAAGCAAATAAAACAATGCAACAACTTTTTTGGCATCGAAGGGGGCTCTAATGATAAGGTAGCTAGGGACCTTGATTTTACCTTGCCTAGTTATTCTAATCCTTTTTTAATGCTATTGATTTCCCTCAAGCCAAATATTAATCATGAATTTTCTAAAATAATCCAACTCCCTCTCTCGAGTGCCGAGTCAAAAATATGTAAAATCACCTAATTAATATCCCTATTAATTAAGTTAATTGTGCATTCATTAAGCTCTAATTCATTTGTGATTACCTAGCTCATATTCATCTCCCGATTCCAATACTCACTAGGCTGTGCTCAACAAATCCCAACATGTGCAAGTGACTCTCTCAAGCCTAAATCCACATATCTAAATCTTCTAATCAATCTTTCAATTGATAAAGCATTAAGCAAAGAAGAGCCCAAATGTTTGGGCATGAAAAACAAATATTCATAGCATAATCGTAGCAAGGTTACATCAAGTCCCCTAGCATAAAAATCTAGCAACCCATCAATGTAAACTCAAGCATATTCAAAATTAAACAAATCTGAAAGTACATGATGAATCCGTAAAAATAGAGAAAATACTAGGTTTAAGAACAAGAGAAGGAAAGAGGAAGAAAAATAAAACTCAGTGTTATTCAGCTCAATCTCCAAGAGCTTCCTCATCTGATTCTCCAAAAACTAGGGTTTTTCTTCTTTGTCTTCGCTCCTTTCACCAAACCCTAACTTCTCTCTTTTTCCCCAGGCCCAGCCAAATTCTCCCCCCAAAAAAAAATCCCTCAGGTTTTACTTTTTAGGCACCTCAGTACGCGAGAACCTGCCTGAGAGCGCACTGGCGTGAGCAGGGTGCACGGGCGCGCGCTGCTGTGACTGGGACGCGCAGGTGCGCGCTGCTGTGAGTGGGGCGCTCGCTGGGGGCCAGGGTACGGACGCGCAGCTTCGGACGCGCGGGCGCGCGCCCCATTCTGACTTGGCTTCACTGATGTGGGCGCGCAGGCGTGCGGCATGAGAGCGTGCCCGCGCCTCTGCACTTTTTGATGTTTTCTTGATTTTCATCTCCTTTTCTTCCAAGTGATTCAATTTTTCTTTGTTTACCTGAATCACTCCCAACCATATTAAAACAACCTAAAAACTTGAAGATATTGTAAATTATCCAATTTCAGGACATTAAATGAGTGAGTCAAAACTCACTTATCAATGTTGTTACCGAAGAGTAAAAAAAAATAATTTTCAAGGTTGGCTGAGTACTCCAAGTCCTACATCTGGCATCTTGCTTATATGTACTTCCAAATAGTAGATGGGCCCAAAATGTTTTTTTTTTCATTACTATGTCAGTTTTGAATAACTGTTTAATGTCTAAGATTTGTGGTTGTGATCATTTTACGCATTGATTCATTTTGTTCAAAAACCTTTACGAAAATATTGTGATGAAATCAACCACAAGTTTTCATATCTTAAAAATGACATTGTTTTAAGTATATAAAGTATGTTTTAAGTACATATAGTATGTTTTAAGTAGCACGACCTCGCTAAATTCGGTCTTAGACCGGTTTAACGTTGAGAGCATTACAGTTTAAAATCTATTGTTATTTTGTATTTTGCAACTTTTTCCTTCTACTTATGATTCTTGAATTTTCTATAACTGCTTTGTTTCTAGCATCAGCTTATTTGTTTGTGCAGAGAGACTTATATGGTTGGGTCTTTTCGGTGGCTAATTTCTATAGGTGAGTGCCATATTTTTTCTTTTCTCTGAAGATTTTTATGCCAGCTGATTTTGTATATGAGTTTCGGCTAAATCAATTCCCTTTGCATTTACTGATTCGGTGATCTATAGTGATGATTTGTGGTACTTAGGATGCTGATTTGTACTCTTGCCTTGATGATCTATATCGTCTTTGTTGCAGAAGCATTAAATGAGTTGGTGATTTTTTCCCCTTTTATTGTCTGAAATGTAGAAAATTTGCACACAAAAAAAAAAAATGGTTGTGTTTTTTCCCTTTTTTGATTTTCTTCCTCCTCTGAACTGATTATCCTTTGGCTTTTTTACCCTTTCCTGACTTTAATCTTATACTACTTCTACTAATTTATTTAATTACAGATTTCTTTGCCAGATTTTGTCCACTGAGTTTTGAATTACTACGTGTGATACTGTTATTGCTTATTTACGCCGGTCGATATCTGGCCCCCCTTTAGTATATATAATAATTTGAGTACAGATTCTTGTTGGTTTCCGAATCAAATTCGGTTGTGAAAGCATGTGAGTGAGAGAATCGTGTATAACAAAAATTTTCATAAAATTTTTGAGATACTCTATAGATTATATTAATTTATGCACGAATAAATTAATCACATTAATTTATTAATTAAGAACTCGAATATGAATTATACCTAGTGACCAATTAGGATGATAAGTTGAGTTCTTTGACCTCGAACAATACTCTCTCCAATGCTTTGTTTACAAAACTCGAGCCTTCCTCATCAATTCCTTGAATTTACGAAGACATAACGGGTTAACAAAAAACACCCAAGAATTTCTACGAACACTAACGCATGCACGACGTAGAATTTTTGGAGAAAAGTTTTTTCTCTCACAACACTAGTTAAAATCCGGCCACTATCTAATAATAAGA